AATTGTATTAATCATTTACATTATTTAGAACACCTTACATATAAAACTGTCAATATTTACAGAATTTAAAAGACACAAAACATATTAGAAGGAGGCTTGTAATAAATTTTCCAAAACAAAGAATATTTTTTAGATTGGCAACACGAGTGTTCATTTTACGTATACGTATATTGTGTACAGTGTGCACTAAAAACCGTCAAAGATCTTCGAGATATATAAGTCCTTCAAGTTATATCTCATGTTCACCAAATGTGACCAGTGGTTCATCAAATGTGTGTCTGTTGCATGACTGGGCAGCTTCGTCGGGTAAGTGCTACGAGCACACAAAAGACCGGCATAAAGTGAAGTTAGTGAAGTGTTACACTTCTGCGTTTCGTCTGGTGAGTGAGGTAGCCGGGGCCCACTTTATTTATAGGTGACAACGCATTTGCAACCCTACGGGTCAGTCAGCTCAGTCCTGCTAATTTTTGGGTAGTAATAAAATTTTGGCAGTGATTGTCCGTTGTTTAAATATAAATGTATTGTTTAAATAATATAATTATTTAAAGTGGAACAATTTCTAGTCAACGTGATAGGTTATTAATTAAAATTTTTTATAACATGATAACGCCATCTATGAGTTACTTCTAACGATTAAGAAAATAAGTTCTAGAGTAGTAATACAGATATTTAACAGTAGATGGCTCTGGTGAAAATTTCACAAATTAGATACCTAACTCGTATTTGGAAATATTAATCTAACACACATGAATGGTTAAAACTGAAATGCATTATTGTAGTTTCCGATTGTAACTAAAGATGTCACTGTTTTGCAAATCTCAATAAACCAATCTGTTTTACATTTGTTTACACTTTATATACCGTACCGACTTATGGTATGTTTAATGTTTATTATTATTTTAAAACAGTGATATTTGAAAGAAAAAAACCGAATAATTATCACAATTGGTGAAATGCATTAATGAGTAATCTTTTGTAATATTTTATTATGGATAAGTAAATCTTTTAAAAAATAACATGTTTTGTAGTAATAAACATCAAGATGAGTCACAAGTGTGTGCTTCGAGGGAAAGAAAACAGAATAAAAATCAGTTAATGACAAAAAGCGGGCTTGCCGTGAGGTTGCGCCTCGCGACACGTTACCATAAATCAGAAGGGGGCGCCACCCGCGCCACCCTTTCGCGAGTAAGTGTGATCTTTCCTAGATCGTACATTTTTATAACTGGCAAAACCAACACGTTTTTTTTCGCGAAGTGATATCGAACGGGCCTTGTGGGTTATTCTTTGTCCATGCTTTTGTTGTAGTATGGTTTTACATCTCCCTTGGTTATCATAATATCGCAATGAAAGGATCGGATAGGAAGGAAGTCGTCTTGTTGAATGTTCAGTTCAATCTTTTATTACTTCAGTGACAAATAAAAGACTAAAAGCTTGATCCGTTCATGGGAAAAGCAGGTTAGAATATACGAAAAAGGTTTTAAGCAGAATCGAAATTGGGTGACTAAGGTAAGAAGGTGACATCCAATGTAAGAAAATTCCAAATGCTTGCTTTTGAATATTAAGATCAGGTAAACAAAAATGGAAATATTAATTATAGGTTCCGCAATGGCGGACGATTGAAGCTTTGGTCGCTCGTTGCTATTGCGTGTCGTTACGGCCAACAAGTGCTTAGCAACAAATCGTTCTACTTACACGTAAAGTTCTCTCGTATTGGATCGTTTATCTAATCGAGGCTTAATTCCAATAGTTTTCTTTATCTTTCGTAATCACCATCTGGCTAAAGATTGACTAATAAAATTATAGTGTATTATGACGTTAGACGTGGGTCTTTCTTCTTCGATTTGATCTAACTTCACGATAGTTGGCCTGTCCTAATTTCGCCGCAAGAACTTCCTAACGCTTCCACATTATAAGATGATGCTGTACACTGTAACACCAGTTGAAGAGTACTGATACACAGAGGATAATATATAGCTTAATATCGATAAAAAACGACCTTGTACCATAGCTTTGACTCATACCTTTAGGGATAATTAGGAGTTCACATAACATGAATAATTAAGGTATCAATAGTTATTGCTGTATGAAATCTAGACTTCGTATTTCTAACACCATGAAAGCTGTGCTGAATTTTAATGAAATCGATGCTGAATAAAGGCCTATCAGTGTTCTGGCATTCCGTTTCGATGTGGTTAAAATCGGGGTGGCTTTTCTCTTTTCTTATGAAAGGCATTTTAACCATTTAATTAATTTACGAATAGACTACGTTGTTCTCTATTGCAAAAATATTTGTTTTATTTTTCTTACATTCTGTGTTCAAAGGTCGTACCAAAGATTAAAGTTATAGAGATGAGATTGAACAATTTGCTTTCGGTTTTTTCAATGAACGGTGCTAAAAAAATTAAGCATTACTGAAAATATTTAACGTGAACATGCATTGCCCGGGGACAATGGTTTTGAATTTTTGTGATCTCATTATTAATGTTGATGCCTTCACTGTTTCTGCTAGTATACAGGCGCCGTAGTACAGGCTTCGTAGTTCGCTTTAATAAGGCTGGTTAAATATTTTTAACAACAGAAAGCACCGTCTGCATGATAGGATGGATGGATTTACGAGAATTTGCGTAAGAAATGTTGAGTTTTCGTTTTCAACAATAAATAACAAATCTTCTTTTGATACTCCGAGCAAAAAGCAGAATTACTGACGCATAAATATGTGAAAAAGAAGATCACATTTGAACCATCATTTTAACCAAGCAACATCAAATCTACTATTAAATTATTGTATATAATACGTAAATTATGCATCGATCCTGGTCTAAGTACCTGAAAAGGTGACAACAGTTAATCGAAATGAAAACATCGTAAACAGAATGCCGAACATGATATTTTGCACTGAATTCTAAACGTCTTAGAGTTGTTTTTTAAATGTATCAAGTTTTGTTACCGAGTAAATTTGATTTGGTCGGTTAAGATGTTCCTCGAGAAACAAGGGTTTTCCTTCATGGGTCACCCTGGGGAGTGGAGGGTAGAGGGATATCCACCTATATCATTCGAGTGGGGGTTCCTGGGGTAAATTACTGCAAAGACGTATTAGTGACAAAGCTTACTAACTCTCTTTTAAATCTAGAAGTCGGCTTCAGTGTTTCACTGATTGCTTTAATTTGGTGTCATGTTGGATTCTTGTAGGTTATTGAATATTTATATTTTTTTATTGATTCTGTGATTTCCAAAAAGCCAATATAAATCCTTTTTAATTTTGCATTCTACCTACCATTTTGCCAGGGGTGAACCCTTTTTAAGAGGTATAATGCAAAAATGAAGTTAGTGGCGTCCATGAACAACAAAGTGCAAACAATTTTAAACATTTTGTCAAAGCTACCTTAATGGAAAGGGCCTATTATAATGTCGAATACATTGAGGAGATTACGCGTGGAAATTGCTCTTTCTGTGCACTTGCAAGTCTCCTGGCTACTGCTGATTTTGTACTATATTTGTATAATTTAAAAAAAAGGAGGGCAAGATCGCTGAGTTTCTTACCGGTTTTTCTCTTAAATTAGTGAACCGGTGGTAGTCTTTTCCTTTTGACTTTCATTAAGAGCTTTAGCATGTATTGACAAAACAAATTTGGACTTGGGTTTTGACTTCAAAGTCTTGTATCATTCAAGGTAGCGGTATTACCGTAAGCTGTTGGGTGGCACGTTTAATATAACTAACGCAATAAAAGTTTTCATGATCGCGCGTTCGGCGAATTACGTTGGCTAGAAAATGATGATCATATCAGGACTACGGATTGTCCAAGCGGTATTGTGACTTGAAACAATAGATTCAATCGAAATTAAGACTAGGATCATCCACAAAATAATTTTATTCGCAATTTTTACCCCACACATTTAACATGGACTGAAAAAATTATTTGTTTTCATGAATTGCAGTACATTAATGAAAAAAATGTCATAAAACGATTTATAAACAATTATAATATTATGTTTACGATATTATAACAATCATGAATTTCTAATAAAATCTGTGAAAGCAAAGACAACAATTGTATGGATAGTGAAAAATTAAAAAAAAATTAATAACGTCTTTTAATAAAAGAGTGGTATCTGTCATAGGGCTTGGTCCAAGAAAGGAGAAGGTCAACTTTTAGTAATTCATGACGGAATTATCTACATTATAAATAATATGAAGTTTCTGTGAGGCATTTTAATTCTTTGTCGCTTATATTTTCGAATTTTGCCGCCTTTTCGATCTCGCAAAAGGTTTCACCATGTCGTCGGTAAGGGTTGAGCGTTGCTTTTCCTAGCTACTACTTCAACGTCGCTATAAACTCGAAAATACTGAAATGCGCTGTCAAACTCACAAAATACAAATTTAATCCTTATTTCCAAAGTCATAAGTTACTCACTGCCTTTTGTTCTGAGCGTCCCGTGAAACGTACAATTTTAAACCTTATCAGCTGCGCCGGGAGCTACTTTTTTATTTGAGTCCATGAAAAATTGCGAAACGAACAAAGAGACCAGGAAACGAGGCCAATAACGGTTAATTATGTAATGTAACATATTATTTATTGGTCTAGAGTTCTACACATTTCCTTGAAAAAGTATATCAAATGTATCTTGAAAAGTAACGTTCAAATTTATTTTTACAAAAATTAAACCAAGTCCTACAGAACTAAAAAACATATATATATATATATATACTTTGTGTAATTTAATCAAATACATAGATACTTAATTTCTTTTATTTCTATTGAAAGTTCGGAAGCTTGCGAAAGTTTAAATTTTTTTTGCATGTTTAAAAACCGCAATGTATACCTAAAGTTTGTCAATCATAACATCATAGCCGCTGGCACTTAAGTTTTTGATTGTCAATTAAACGGAACACTTTATTACAGTGCTCGCTATTGTGAACGTTGAACGTCTGTGGTATTATTTCCTAAAATCTGTTTTTCTGCGGCCTAATTTATATGGCATCGGGTAGTCCGCATCTAATCAATACGCGGGCTTGGCGCGACGCGCTCGGCTCGCTTCGGGAGCGCTCGGGCTTTTCCGCGCGCCCTCGGCGACATTCGGCTTGCGCCTCAATCGTAATTCCATTTTCCGCCCGCCTTGGCAAATTGAAATGTCGTAACTCTTGGGGGATATCGGCTTTCTGACCAAGGAAAATGCTCCGCGGTGGCATTGTGACGACGCCCCGGATAGTGCAGAATGTTCCCAGTCCATCATACGCTGCGGTTCGAGTGCCCCGAAACTGTTATAATCGTGATTCTGTCGGCTGCTTGGTAGGTCCTAGTGATGGCGGTGTCACGCCCCATCTCTTTCTATGTTATTGGCGGCAATTTTCTGTCATTCAAATCTTCGCGCACATTGAAGTTATTTAACTTTGTAAAACTAGGTGGATATAAGAAATAATTTATTAAGATTTGAATTATAGCAAAGTACAGGAAAGAGTTATTTACTAAAACATCAGTTTAAATGTATGTAGTGTTTAATTGGGTAGGGAGCACTTTAGCACTTTATTACTCGTAAGTGCTAAGTTTATTATTGCGAGCCCTGTAACATTTTCGCCCTACAACAGAGCATTATTGATACCTCTTTGTGAGACGAAGCTAGCTTTTATGTGTAGTCGTATCGTATTTGTATGTGTTTTTAGCGATGCGTATTATTCAGAATGTAATGCGGTTGGTTCGCTGTCTGGAGTTACGTGGAAAATTCACAGTACTTTTGTTAAAACATATTCTGAAAATGCTTTAGAAGTTTTGATTTCATCACCATTTCATAAGAATTTATCTAATCTATTTAAAAATAAATAAAAGCCAGCAAATTTCGAAATTAAAATTGAAGTTTTGTTTTTTATGGCATGAACAGTTTAAGTTCTTTTGAAATTTCATCATACATATCAATACGCGGTACTGATACATTAGACTATTATATAAAAATATTAAGATGATAGAACCGAAATGGTTTTAACTTTTGTGATATGTGATATAGTAATGTTTACTTTTTATTTATTTATTTGGTTTTATGTAGGCACATTATGACATTCGTAAGTAAATAACAATAAATGTAATAATTATTAATATGTTCGGATACATTTTTACATAATGTCCCAATCTAAGCAACTCCTTTACTATGGGTATTAGGAAAGTGATACATAATACATAATTAGATATACTTTTCTTTTTAAATAAACACATATAAAAATCCAGACACTTGAAAAACACTATATGAATATAGTGTTTTTCAAGTGTCTCACTCAGTATTCACTCAATATTTTTCCAGTATTGGGGACCGAACCCATGCCCTCTGGTGAAAGAGGTACGTTCACTACTTCCCACGCTAATTTAGTCGCTCAGAATATGTATTTAACATTAACAATATGAACATAAACCATGAATGTTGTGTTTTATTTTTCCATTTATGTGTAACCGATATTGTATATAATTTTACGGTTTCTTTTCCATGTAACTATACTCTTCTCTATAAGTAAAATATTCTTAAAAAGGGATTCGAAGTATGCACATAAATACTAATGCAAATATTTTTAATGCAATTGAGTTAGCATTTTAAGAGTACTGTACTCGCAAATTTAAATTTATTGCACGCGCGACCTGTTTTATTATTACTTTCTACTGCTTTATTTTTGCCATAGATAATCCAAAAAACTGCCTAAGAAATACAAGCAATTTCAGGGGTTATATTAGTAAGAGGCCCAGTAGGTCAGATAAATTGAACCCTCCGTGGCGTTGTGTTCACACGTAAATAACATGTAGAGTTTGGGCGGGGGCGGTGGGCGGCCGAGACCCCACGTTATGCCAACGCAATTCGCCACTTTCCTACTCCAAACTCAACAAATTATCGACTCTATTGCGTACAAAATAAGATACTTGAAATTTCATTCGGCCGCAATTGCAAGTTTGCGATAGCATCAGATGATTTCCCAAGCCTGCCAGCTGCAAATTATTTCTCACATTATTTTCGACCTTATATTAACGGACGAAGGCGCGCTAGGCTCGCGAATGACCGAAAAGTTTATTTGCGTCAGAATAAGAATGGATTTCGTCGAACACGCAACAGGAGTAAACTTTTGCCATGGTTTGTTAGTCTTTAATGTTTTATAGTTTCAGTTGAATTCTTAGAGAAATATTAATGGAGTTAGCAACAGTTTGCGGGTCTTAGGAGTTCTTGGTTATGACATATAACGAAGAAATGATACATTTTCTATCGAAAATCATGTCAGTTGATAGTGGAGAAATACAAATAGCGATTTGAAGTATTGTATTTGCTGTTTTTACACCGTAATAGCCCAAACGCCGTTACAGACTTGGTAACCTTATTTAACAAGAATTGTCCTCGTTTAAAGAAGATATTGAGGCTGGCGAGTTGGAGCGAGCAGGGTAATAGAAGGGGTAGGCGGTGGGCGACGGGGTCAGAGGGTGCGCGAGTTTTGAATTAATTATGTTGATATCGGCCCGCCTTTCTATTAATTTCATTATTTGTCTAGTGTTTGAATAATCGCGGCCACTAATTGCCTAAATGATGGCACTCGACCCATAAATGCATCTCATAACTGCACAAAAATTTAAAATTTGTGGAAAAAGAGACGAAAAGTTACTTTACTACGAGTATTTGAACCTACGTCCTCCAAAAGACACGTACGACGCTTTAGCCTACTTTGTTTTTATTGAATTTATGCAATGTTTGGCGGCATCTAGTAAATTTCATGTTAAGTACACAATGTCAAAAAAATGTCATTTAATAATTACACATTTAATGAATTTGATTATAATTAATTCAATGTTAGTCACCATATTATTTAAGTTTTTTTTAGCTAGCGTTAAATATATGTTTCATGTAAGAAAATACAATATTTTATATTTCTTTGATAATACAATAATAAGAATAAGTTCTTTGTTAACATGTTGTACGAGGCACATTATGCGTCTATAGTGCTTTACGATAAATTTTATAATTGCTTAAGAAAACTTAAAGAGCTCTTCGTCGCCAAATATCGATTTCAAAACACCAAATAAGAGATTTTCCTTACTGTACTTCCTATTTAGGTTTTAAACGACTTCCATTCAGTAATCAAGTAATAAATAATGCTAACAATGGTTTTAAGAAATAATGATAATACATATTAGTATAGTAGTACATTCAATACCATTTGAACTATAATGTGACTTAAATACGCCAGTCTGCGTTTGCTACGTCGATTGTGACCTTATTACGAGTTTCGTTCAAGCAAGTTTTCTATGCTCTGTAAACAGTGATAGATGCATCACATAATATAACACTTTTTCTTCTTTCATGTTTCCTTTCATGCCTGTAAGATTAATTTGAGAATCACACGTTTTTTTCACATTAGTGGCCCTGATATGGTGGCTAGAAATGAGTTACTTGGAACCCACTCAACAGAGTAACTCAACTAAAGACATAACTCGTCAATACTCAAGTTAATAATTGATCGAGATAGTCTCGAAAAGTAGCGACACGCGGATGGGACCGAAATCTGACTACTAGTGGAATTTAGCGCGGCCTTTGAATGTCAGAATATCATGACATTTAACAAGTAACCCGATGTTATTAAAATGAGTAACTTGGTAAAACGATAAAGCCACTGAGGACAGTATTCACCCGGTGGATAATAGCCGTAAAAGAAATATGGCCGCCCGGGGTTTCGGTGAAAGAATTAATTAATGCCCAACGATGGGAGATAATAAACTTGCATTAAGCGATACTTTTGGAGAATTCGGGAACGCTCGGTGGGCGGGCGGGAAACGCCCGAGCGGGGGTGTTTTAACCTTTCCACAACTTCCACAAGTGAGATTGGGTAAGTAAACATATTAGAACAACTTTTATTAAGACGCCCGCCTGTTTTGTTGGCGTGCATTGTTTATGAGGTATGCCGCGGTAGAATCAAGGCTGTGGTGCTTCGGCGTAAAAATGCCATACACGTGTGATATTCCGATCGCGTGTTTGGGCGGTTTTAATGATACTACTAATTGCTAGAACGGAGCGTTGAATATTAAGGTCGGCAACGAATGGGCGACCTTTACGGGCGGGCAAATAGAGGCTTCGTATATTTTTCCGCTCTATGTTCGAAACAGAAAAATAAGTAAGAGACGCAATTGCGAACTACTGAGCAGTTGAAACAAAATAAATAATACTGTGGTAGGGCCACGCGATAGTCTTCACTGTTGCACGAATGGGCAGGTCCATCCGGGGAAGTCCCATGACCTCACAGAACACCAGCGTCAAGTGGATGTGTTACACTTCTGCGTTCCATCTGGTGAGTGAGGAAACCATGGCCCACTTTATTTAAAGGTGGCAACGCATCTGCAACCCTACGGTTGTTGCAAACATTCTTGGGCGGGCGATAACACTTAACATCAGGTGAACCGTCAGCTCGCCAACCAATTATAAGATACAAGATCCACCTCGTATAGAAGGATTACGAGCGCAGACAATAAACGAACGGTGAATTGAAAAACAAAGGGAAAACATTTGCTTAGCTTCTTTAAGTGAACTTATTTGTTGGCGTATGTTACTAAATGTTGAGGATATTTGGAACTGAATTGTATAGGAGGTTTTTGATTTTAATCATATGTAAATTTTTGTACTTTTCATATCATCACTGTCAGTACCACTTTTCATATCATCACTGTCAGTACCAGAACTGTATTGCGTAATCAATTAGTTGATAAGTCTCGATTGGTCCAAACTTATTGATTTACGAACTTACTGTGATGACGTTCGACCTCGACTTTAACTTTACGGTATAATGTTCTCGCTTTTAATCTATTAAACCCTTATTGGATTTGGTATTCGAAAACATCAAGTTTTACATTGTAGCAACATCGATGAATAGAAGGGAAAAAGTTTATTTAAAATGATGCATACACATATGATGTTTCATCTTATTTTCATATTTCCTTGTACATTGGTGATTCTTCAATGGAAAATTGCATTACAAATATTTTATTATATATCTTATTAATTTCATTACTGTTAAAATTTTATTGTTGTCAATAGAATACTCATTAATTAAATGTAACTCTAATCGATTACTTTATAATTTGCTGATTCTTCTATTCGTTCATTCAATTATGCTATCGTTATTCATGCAACCATTTGTACTATGATAATTGTTCTATATATAGCGTAGTTTTTAACCGTCATTGTAATACATCAATTTAATATTTTTGTTTTGTCAGAAAGTTTATCTTATTCAAACTGTCCCGTGCCGTACTCGTAACGCGCTTAAGACGAAAAGTGCAATGAAATATATTTAACAGCTCTTCATAATCCCCCTGGCCGTCCAAGACGGCACTGGAAACGTCTCCTCGCCGTTGCCTCGTGAATAAATTATAATGATAACGCCGTGCCTACGCAATATTGAAGACGTTTTGATCATTAACAGGCCCCGCCTTGCTTCGGCCGCTCGCTTTCGGGGAAATTTTTCCCGGCCGGGTATCCACAATGATTCCCCTTCCTCCCCCCTTTCTCACCCCAAGGCCGTGGCCTTTGCAAGAACACTTGAACTTCTTTTATCTTTGGTTTGTCGACGGTACGCGGATGAGGACAGTGAAATTTCCGCGATGGTGTAATCGTGCAATAATTACGACGGAATACTTTTTCTTCTTTGATTTAATTTTTTTTTACTGGCTGCAAAAAGATTTTGTTTCTTGTAAATTGAATATATTTATACTGCATGAAATCTATTTATACAACTTCTGTGTAATCCAAAACTAACCGTGCCCACAGTTCACTGGCTACGGGGGTGCTAGACGCGTGGGTTCTAAAGGTCAGCTCACGCGTATTGCAAATCGAAAGACTAATAAGACATGACATATTGTAACGGGTTTCGTTTTCGCCCAACATTCATTCTGAAAACAAAGTATTTTGTGTATTTTTAATGAAAAAAAAAATGTTGAGTGATTAACGTATGGACTTTGGTTATGTGCGTTGTGCATGGGGACATCACGAATGAAGTTGCCTCAGTACTTCCTTCAGTGTCTAGATTCTTCTTGGCCTATGTGCCTTGTGCTAACTGAAACAATACAGTCTACGGTGGTGAACTGCAAATAAACGTGACCTTCATTTGGTCCAAGGTTAAACTTAGACTTCATCGGTGAGGAGTTCTTACCATCGTTGTAATTCTTCCTGTAATATATGCCAATAGAAGATAAGGAATGTATTCGACATCGATTTGAATGTCACGACTTGTTGAGCTTATTGCATTGAACATATATTTCGAAACCGCTTGTGTATGTCCAGCCAACTTGGCACCGTTGTGACATGGTGATCTCTAGATATCATTCTTTACTAGTCAGCATTCTTTTCCCCCCTGAACACGAAGGATGACTCGCTGACCATTGCCGCGAAAGAAATAGCCGAGAAGAAAAAAAGAATATTTTCATATTTTCTCTAGAAGCCCATTGGAAGCTTTGAAAGAAGCGCTTTGTGTGTAATAAAATACCTTCGCTATGGCCAGACTGGCTGCAAGCACCTCCCCCTTGGTTTAAATGCTTCTGGCCATCTATATGTCAGGTACACTAGAAGACCACTGGCTGAGTGCCCCGACAAAAGTCGTACTGGCGGTTGCTAAATAGCCGGCGCTGCTCTAGGTACCGTAGGAGCTTTCAGTTGATAAGGGACTCCAATATCTTGGAGAACAAGGAAGTGATGGCTATAGTCTATAACTAATAAATCGATTTGAAAAATTTGGTTGTTATTATTTCATTTAACATTACAACTTATGCAAAGTGAAAACATCAACTTGATAACGCAGAAAGACAATCTCGCTCTATCTTGAACATAGACTAATGGAATTTGGGGATGCGGTGCCTATAAAAAATTAGGGTTCCAGATACTTGACTCACCAGAGGAAATGTGAAAATGTGAAAAGCACTTCACGCCCGTCTTCTATTAGACCGTAGTACTTTCCAAAAGGAGCTGTTCCTTTTATGTAACAGGTTGGCATAATGTGGCCGTACGTTCATTTATCGGTTTGTGGTTATGTGTGGTGGTAAAACTCAGCAACAAGTATTAATATGAAAATTTCCTCTGAGCACTTCCCGAGATGAATGAGAAATATCAAGGTGACGTAACGTTTTTTCAGGGTCAAATGATATAGTTTGTATTGATATAGCCTTTGCCTACAGACGAGAGCAGTTTTCTGTGTGAAGCCGAATCTACGCTTTAGAGCTACAGCCATTGGACTGACAAATCTTGTATTGAGTTCGCAGGAAATATTCTACTAAGGGTCCTGAGGACAAGCACCTATGGGCACGCCAAGTTTAACGCGGTAACTTGTATAGGCTTTCCTATACAAGTGACCGCGAATTTTCCTTTTTTTGGGGATCGGATGCTCTTAAGCTGTCTTCCAAGATTTCGATACAACATATAGGATTTTCTGTCTGGCCCTCGACTTGTTGAATTAATTTTTAGTGAATTAATTTTGGGAATTAATTTTGTATTAATTAATAATTGTCATAATCATTTGCCACCACTGAACGTGCGGTAAATATTACCGCCGCAGGTTGATCGATATGTACATACTTGATCAATGTTTTTTCAAGGTAACATTACTGTTTAGGAACTTTACTGTTAGTTGTGATGTGCACCACGAGTTCATCTCATATTCTACTGTTCCTCGCACAACGTCCGATAGTCTCTGTAAAAGTCACTTATCGAGCCATCGAATAAGATGATAATTACGTCCGACAGCATATGGTTTCTCTGGATTACCTACAATTTGTTACCGAGCGCCTAAATGATATAGTTTTGTGACACCATGCATGTGTGCCTGCATTCAATTTCCATTGCTGCAATATAATATCGCGAACACTAATTTTAGTGATGTGTACAATGTTAGTAGGCGTTTCTTCACTCATAATGTTCAAAGTATTTGAACAGCGAGCTAATATTTCTGCCCGTGCTGCGATTTATCCCAGAGGAAGCAACAGCTAACGTGTAATTTCTGTCTTTGCTAGCAGCAAAGCCATTGCTAGCAGCAATTTCAGGGAAACTCTAGCCAGCGTACGACGCCTGTATTTAAAAATATGGCAATCATCTCTTGCTCGCTCCAAAGCTCTAAAAATGTTATTAAAAGTTTATAAGTGATGTTTGAAATGTGAGATTTTAGGCATAATTGCTGATAATTATAAAGAATATAGGTCAATATATTGTAGAATGTCGACATATTGATTTTGAATCTCGGGGTTATATTCCTTCGGTACTGTTAGTCAATTAGTTCGCATAATTGTAGGCCAGTGTTGATGTGAGTTGTAAATTTTCTGGCATACAGTTTATTTATCTCCGTTTATCCTACGCCTGTGATGAATCTCAAAGATGATTAAAGCCTAAAAGTAATAGACGTTACCCCTGCACTTATAATAAGCCTGTCTGTCTCGCACGTCGCGACAATACCCCTCCAACCGGCATGAAGATACTTTGAAGGGAGTTTTCATCATCGTAAGTGTTTACGGGTATAATTTTATGACGGCTTGTGTTATTAACTCGCTGATTTCCATCAAAGTTGCGCAGTCGGTTAATTGCTTTATTTGCATAAACATGAATGCCTAAACATTAGAATAAAACGATTCGAATAAGAAAATAGATAAGTTCACGCTATGAGGTGTTTACTTTGATTCTTGTCTTATCAATTATCCTGATCTAGAGTACGTAATTATGTTTTATATAGATATTTTGGTGCATCACGAAAAGTTATAGTGAGTAGTTCTCGTAAATATTTACGAACACAGGGTAGAAAAATGAAGCGACTATTTGACAGTTTTGTTTGGATTGATATCAATCGAAAAACACTCCAAATTTAAATTAGAAGAAACCTACTTACTCTATGTAGGCTGCTTTTTTACGCTGGTATTCTTTGAGGTCAGAGTTCTGCCCCGATCAAGACGACCTACTTAAGCATCACAACTATCATCCAGCTGTAATTCGAATTTTCATACTTATTTCTACTTATAATTATGTAGTATATAAATGTAAGTAGAAATATTTACTATTGAAACTATTACTCTATTAAAACACGTGTTCGATCAGGACATCAACTTTATATATTATTTTATACGTGCTGAACTCCTGGCAAACGGCTGGACCAATTTTAATGAATATTTTTGTGTGTGTACAGGGAAACGTCTGTCCGATCCGCCAGTGTTTTATATAAATCTGTTGCCTATTACTTAACTAGGTAATATATATTTTTTTCAGCATTGTAGTCCCAGGCACATAGAATAGGACTAAGGTATCTCCTGCCTGTTGTAAAAGGCGAGTAAAAGGGGACACGAATTGGCAGCAGCTCGAAGTGGCCTCGAGCTGCTGCAAGATGGCGAGTGAATTGGGGAAGTTTACCCTTCACCGAGGCGTGCTCACGCCCAGTACACAGATACCAAAAAAAGGTAATATATTTTATGTACTAGCAATCGTAATTCGTGAATCACTCGCACATTATCACTCAGAATTGATGATTGATTATTGTTTTAATTAAATGGTCTTATAATTAAGAATTATTTAGAGGTTTAGTGATTACTACTACAACAAAAGATATAGGTCACAAAAAATTAAGGAAAATACTATTGCAAAATAGCATCCATTGCAAAATTCGCTAACGATTTTAATACTCATTATACATGCCCCTATATTTTAATGATCTCGTTAAAATGTAAGCTAGGGGGTAATGATACGAGGTAAAAAAAATCAAAATTTCCTGTACTAAATTTCTTCCTCTAGTTATGCGTTTATAACTCACGTGACGGCTATTTAAATTGTTTCAGTAGTTATTGATTTTTTATACCAGGCCAAAAATCTGAAATCGATGCAAGGTCACAGCCCAGACCGTGGTAGGTAGTTAACGTATTATTACGTCACTTATAAAATCCGCTCGCGGGGATCCTTCGGATAAATTGTTCCGATCAACGCGGACCTTTTGCAGGTCAATTATTGAATCAAATTGACCGCGGCCGATGTTATTAGCTGCCGATCTGCGGACGAATTGACAGATGCACGCATGTGTATCCGCAGGGTCGCAGGTGATGCCTTTGTACGAGTGCCCGTGGGGGTGGATTGCGCATATGTCGGAAAGGGGACGGCGGGGGTGGTGGAGGGGGCGGCGGGGGTGGGCGCGGAGTAACTGCTCAGGCCTGTAGCTAGCTCGGTACATTTTATTGTAGCTCGCCTCTCTAGATACCACTGACTCCGAGGGCTTTCGAAGTTTATCGATGTCGATATAAAGAGCGTAATGGCGCATCGTTACCTCACTCGTTTTCTGCCGCGTTGCGAGATTGGATTGGGTTTATTGGTTCTTACTTTTATTTTTAAATTAATACGTTTCCTTTATTTAAAATACGCTCTACCCGTTAGGAACGAACAAAAATCACCTGTGTATAAAGTGTTTCTCATTTCGCGTAATATTATAAATATATATACATATATATACAAATAATTAGATAATTAACTGTATATAACTTATCATAAGACAGTTATTTCTGTGATATTATTTTCCGATGTATACTGCTATCGTCCCGAAACTACATCCACCATTCGATTTTTGGCTCTCAGTTTCGCGATTTCGTTAAAATATCGATATCGATATTAAATATGTTGTTTAGCTTCCCTAGACAAGTTAACCCGTCGTCGCCGGGGCGTTGCCTCAACTGCCCTGTATGTGGCCAATAATTTTATTACATGTTCATTAAGGAGCCGTCGCCCTTGCAACCGTCAACTCTTCGCTTAGTGTTTACATTGTTCGCATGTACCTCTTCGGATCTCCAGTGGTTAATAGATTTGTCTTGTCTGTTGAAACTATTCGTTTGAGATTGTTTCTGTTTTATTCTGAGCCTTAATCTGCACTCATGATGCCGGTGTCGAGAACTTTTCTACAATTCATCGATTGAATTATAATCATGTCAAGTCTTCGCTGTTGCACCAATGGTTAGGTCCCTCCGGAGCAGTACCACGCTCTCACAGAAGACTGGCGTGAAGTGGGAGTGTTATACTTCTGCGGTTCGTCTGGCGAGTGAGGTAGCCGGGACACACTTTTTTTAAAGGTGTTCCAAATATCCATGGACGGCGGTTATCACTTAACGTGAGGTGAACCGCCAGCTCAATTGCCAACTTCTCACATAAAAAAATATATAGAATGATTATTATCCTGCGTCTATGAATGAAAGTAAGCCTTCTTTCAAATGTCGATAAACAAAAATTAATACAAAAAAGCGTGCACAATTTCCCGTTTTTGTCGTATTTTTTTAGTATTCTTTGATAGAATATGTCTGTTGACAAATCACTTTAATTTATATATTTATGTCTATTTGCGTAAAATATGCCCCTGAGGTCAGTAAAAGGAATTGTTAGCAATCTTATTATAGTTATTTATTTAGTTAAAGTATATTGTTTAAAAATTTTTAAACAATAATTTTAATGATTGAACAATTACACGTATCACTCAATGTAACAGTTATTATAACTATTACTAAAAATACATATTAACCAAAGAAATTTAGTCATCGAATTTGAAATTTTGTAATTGAATTACTTTCTATCTAAACGTAGCTTAGGTTCTATCTAGAATATATGAAGATCTCTGCCGACATTTAAATATTCGTTACTTGAAAATACATACTGTGAAACACATCCTGCATTATATGCACCAACGTAAACCCTAAATTGCGACGTATCTCATCTTTTTTATTTGCAATTTCGATGCGCGCAAAATTGAACACTAATAAGGTGGATTAAGACTGAATTTGGGGTGTGGCAGAACAAATCGGAACATCGCTTCGAAGTATTTAAGGGGAGACTTTTGTAATAGTCGACTGAACATGCCATGCACAAGAATATAGCTGCTCCATTCTGCTCATAATCTCATCCAACTGTAACAAGATGGTTCGTGATGAGCAAAGATTTTAGCCGCTGTTTGTGTACTTGTCTCCTGTAATAGCACACATTTTGTTTGTCTAACAATTTTAAGATTTCATTCTAAATTATACATAATTGAAAGTTTATACTAAAAATTTTACGTATAGTAGTATTTTGGAACGTTCATAGCTTTTTGCTCAAACTGAAAATAATAAAAAACCTAAAGAGAGGGGCAATTAAAATTTGTAATAACTCGAAAGCAAAGTCAAAGTAAGTTAAACAAGGCGACAGAAATAATTAAACGCCGACACGTTCGCACCGTAAAAATGTCGCCCGCGCGCCCGGGGACTGGTGCGACACGCGAAATCGTTTAAACGTGAAACTTAACGAAAAGCACAATGAATTTACTGCTACCTGAATAAATGATAGCATCGCGGTGAATTTGATGTCAATATGTGTTAACACTAAGCTATTTAGTTTACGACTCGGACCCCTTTCCCGCCCCTGCGCACACACACGCACGCCACCCCACCGACACCCGTGTACGTGGCACCCACACACGCGCGGCAGCGATTTTTCACAGCTCTAACTTACACACACAAACGAACGAAGCGAGTGCCTTGCCCCACGGAAAGTTTCGTAGTAGAGAATTTGTTCGCTAGTCGTGTCTAGACATGCTATGCTTTTAACTTAGAGGTGAATCCTTCGAGACTTGTTTCGTGAACTTTGTTCGCATAATTAAGTTCTATAATAAGGGACAGTGTCACTCTGATTGAGTTGTAATGATGTTTCAATAAAAAATAAGAACCTTAATACTTATATTATTTTCAAATGTTTTTCTAGTTGGAATAAACTGATACGAAATTATGACATTTTCGCATGAGTTTATTCGAATTAGAATTACATACCCCTACCGCTATCACTGATAAATCACCAGCTTTGTGAAACAATAATAAAAGTTTTAAATAAAGCGATGTTCTAAAAACGTAAAACGCTATAATAGGTACTCGTGTTCGCAAGTGCCGCGGGAAAATCATGGCAAGGGAATGCATCGAAAATGATTACAGAATGTGTTCGAACGGGACGGCGCGATTGCAGCCGCATGCCGTTCAGTCTGTTAGACAGAGATCAAATATTGAAAATTGCGGCAGTGGCTAAAATGGAACATGACACTTATAAAAAAAGTTAAGATGTGGACTGTAACCCAAAGGAATAGAGTTGTAAATCAAGCGTCAACTGTGGCACCTTCGTTGTATTAGATTCGGAGAGGGTGGCGGGCGCGGGGCCGCGGTGGCTCTCAACTCTGGCAGATAATCAATATCCGCTTGGCTTGTGGACACTATAGTAATATATGTTATTTTATTGCCGCGTTGTTCTCGCGCGGCGCTTCGTAGTATTTTCCGTCCCACTCGCACCATTATCTAAAATGGACAGTGGCGTAGATTTGGTAAATGATAAGTGTGAGAAAGTATTTATCACGACAATGAAGCGTGATACGTAATTATATAAACTATTTAGGTTATAGCGGTGAAAAGATAGTGTGTAGGGGTGATGGGTAGTATTGGGGAATCATTATGGATATGTTTATTTTTATTGGCCGGGTATTGAGGTTGGCTTGTGGCGGCACGCGATGCGGGCTTCTTCATTACTAGAGCACTTCGGTGTGTGCCACTTAATTGTCTTAATCTAATTAACGTTGCCGTATCTAGCCCGATATTAACTAGTTCGGGGGTAGTGTGTGAACGATGTTTTGTTGTTCGAAAGCAATGTTTTGGTAATTTAGTGATAATTCCTATGATATTTTTGATTTTTGATGACATAAAAATAAAGGTGCTCTAGGTATTGATTATGATGTTTGGATTTTTCTAATTTCTTGTTCAAACATTTTTTTACGAATATATAATTAAAGGATAATTTCGTGATAAAAATGATACAAATATAAAACAATATTATCTATGTTTGAAAAAAGTGCACCGAAAATAATTGGGAAACATATACAATTTACATTTACGATTTATAAGTATTGAATTACTTCAAGTATATCTAGGATTGCCAACATATGTTTAGATAATTAATCGTGGTAGAGTCATGTAGCAGTTTTTGCAGTTGCATGAATGGGCAGGCTCGTCCAGGGAGGTACCACAGCCTCACAGAAGACCAGCAGGAATTGGAAATATTAAAATAAAAATAAAATACTTGAGCGTTTCATCTGGTGACTGTCGTAACTGGTGCCCACTATTAAAGGCTCCACGACGACCTTGTTCCTGGACCATGGATATTTACAACACCAGAGGTTTAGTTTCTGGCATTGTAGGTATTGGAATCACTTAGCCTAAAAGAAAATTAAAAAACCAGTATTTTTTTAATGAAGTAAAGAATACACAAAGACATATTTGTTCCTTATTTACTTTTGTTAAAAATTATTTTTTTGAAAAATTACTTTTAAGGAGGCGAAGAATTAGTTTGTTATTAGTTTTCGTGTTGCAAAAGTGTGTGCGTGTAACCTTTACGCGCGATTGAAGTAAAACTTCTTTGGCGTTGACGGCATATGTCACTGAAATGATTAAATATTTAGTAATATACTTATGACGTTACTTCCGTCAGAAAAAGCGTTACTTCCGTCAGAAAAAATCTGAGTTACTCCCTAGTCGCGCCTAAAGAAATTTTACTTCAAAAACGATGATTTATCCAACTGAAATATAATTTTTTTTATAACATTATTTTAGAGTACTATACATTTTTTTATTAGTATACAATATGCAGGCCCGGAAAAGAGGAAAAAACTGTATATAATGGAATGATTGGCAACCTTAGGTATACGTTACCTTAAAAGAAGTTGAATAACCCTTTTCCGTTTGGGAAAAATCACGAATCATGTTAAAAAAGGAACTCATGGAAACTCGCCGCGAACTTTGTATTAAACCGCTAACTCTTTACCAATCGAGACTAGGAGGTCTCACAAAAAGTTCAACTATTGTTCAAGAAACCTTATACAGCAGGACTTTCTGCTGCGCTGAAGTAATTTCAAAGGGGCTTTAGAAGGTATGAGTAAAGAGAAAAAACATTGCTTAGTTACAAAAAGCTCTTATTGTTTCAACTCTTTCCATTGAATTTTTATATAATGGGTGCAAGTACCGTATTTCGTTATGTAAATCTAGACATTTTTAAATTTTTAGCAGGTAGGTACATTCAAGTAAACAGTCTTAATATTTTAATTTATCGACTATTCTGGCCGGTTCACCCTAGCTGTGACTTCGCAAAGCGATTCCAAATAATAATGGAAACATAATTCGATTGGCTCCCGCACGTCGACGAATCAAGTAGGCCACGGTTGCTTAACAGTACTACTAGAAGTGACAATGGATTTTTTTTTATATGAGAAGGTGGCAA